AAAATATAAGTTCCACAGTCACATCTAATGACAAGCATACGCTGGATTACACCCTTAAATTATCTCTCGAGACAGCATTTGATGTCTGGGACAAATGACATAACAACTAAGGAGAGCTCAAACAAACAAGAAGAGGTGATAGTGACTGCACCCTATATGAATGCTTAGCCTGAACATTGTTTAGATCTGCCCTACTGCACCTCCAAAAAAACGTGTACCTCCACTGAGATGTCTGAAACCAGAAAAAAATAAATATTTTTTCTAGCAATCTAGACAAAATGTGGACATTTTGTAAGGTAATTAACTTTACAAAGCTATTTTTTTAAACAAAAACCAAGAAAACCTTTTGCAGTCCTATCGGTTTTAGTAGATGAGACACCACACCTCAATGAAGATGATATCCTAAATGTAAGTATAGCTTCACAACTAAAGCCCCAATCAACTTCAATAAAATTGAAGGGTAGTTCTTTTTTTCCATTTTCCATTTTTATACAGCCTGCCTGAGAGTTCAGAAAAAAGGGGGGTAGGGAGCTGAAATCACACACTCTCAGTGAGGAGATCTATAAGAGCCGATTGGAGGCAAGAGACACACCCCCTTCATATAGTTCAGAGGAACAGACCTACGGCTTTCAATCTGCTGGAAGTCCCTCCCCTGTCATCATTTTTGGTGTCAGGAAAATTTGTCAGAAGTGATTCATGCTGATAGCAGAGGAATACGACAGCAGACAGAAAGTCCACTTAGTGCACTTAATTGAGTAAGTACACACAACAGGGGTGTATGATTTGTTCATATTTCCTATCTGAGGTATTTTAAGGCCACAACAGATATTGTGATTAGGAATATGGATAAAGGAGGACTACATCCTAGAAGCAAAGAGAAGCATGGAATGCAATGCTTACTATAAAATTCTTGAGAAGACCTTTGTAGAAAAATATATTTCCTTTATAGATTACAGTTTAGAAATGGGTATTATTATGAAAGTCAAAGGAGTTTGTTTTCATTAATAATCCAAACTTACCACATTTTACCACCTCCCAATGGATTTTAAGTCTTTCGGTAAGCCTCTGGGATGTCTAATTATTTCAGGCATTAATTAGTTCACATCCATCCTCTCTCAGTATATATATTTTTATTTATAATGGTTTGACAAACATCTCCCCTGACATCTAAAGAATGCATCAGAACTACTCAGGAATTTAAAGAACATAATGTACAATGGACTTTGTAATGCTGCTGGCTGACCTTGGATGTATCATCCCTTTATTTGAAGATACCACACAGTAAGGGATTGGAAGCAGTATCTTTTTTTTGGATTCCCTAAAGCCCTGGAAACAGTTGGATTTCCTGCTTAGAGTGATATGTTTCATTGCTATACATAACTATTTCATTTTCTCAAAACTTTCATTCAAGAAAGAGGTACTACTATAAGCATCTGTTTTGCACCCAGTTTTGCAAATGTTTGCATTGTTAGTTTTGAAGAAAGCTTTATATCAACAAACTGTAACCTGTTTTATTTTAAAATCAAATTTTGCAAGAGACATATAGATGACCTTGTGATCATTTCAAAAGGGAACCTTAAGGAAATTCAATTTTTTTGGAAAATACTTGAATAATAACAAATGGGTCTTCAACTTCACTAGTTAATATCACTGTTAATCTACTAAATACCTAGATGTGGTTATGTTTGGCAACCAAGATGGATTCATTATGACTAAGACATTTTTTAAAATACAGTAACAGCTACCTTATCTTTAAGAGTTATCATTCAAATTACTGTTCATGCTGGACCCTCTTTCAAAGAAAGAAGTCTCAAAAGCACCCAAAGTGCTGTTTCTACGGGACCCTACCCTTAGAAATAGAATTGCATCTAGTATAATTACGTTGGAGGTAAAGAAAAAAACAATGGAAATACCTAAAAAAATGGGCTGTTTCAAATACGACACACCAAACTGCCTTAGTTGTTTGTCTATCATCCAAGGTGCCCTTGCAATTGAGTCTTTCAGCACAAGCTCTCAACTGCTTCTCTCAGTATATTATGTACATTCTATCAAGCCCATATAGGTTACAATATGATGGTAGAACGATACAAGCATCCCAACAAAATCTCAAAAAACACAGATAAAATATGAGACTATGTTTTGAAGGTCATTGTGTATCAAGTAATTTTTGAGTACATCATGAAAAGGAGTTTAATGTCCTTTCGGACTGTCATTACATGACATTTTAGATTTATGGTCTAAATGAGGCAAACAAAATGGTTGAATCATTTACAATGATTTACAACACTTACTGCATCATGTCTTATCACAATATCACACTGCACTTTTTGTAGGTATATACTGTGTGGTATAATATTGGTGATTCATGATCACTTTTATAATTCACTTTGTCGGCATACCCCTTCCTTTAAATTTTAGGGCCTCTTCCGCCTTGTCCACCTTTTCTCCATAACAATTATTCCTTTACTTTTTTAAACATATATGGACATTTATTTTCATCAGCACATTGTTCTTACAAGTTATTTTAAAGTTCAATCATATTTTTAAAATTTGATTTATTCCTATTTTTATTACTTTGATTTCCATTACATTTTAGGCCTCGTACATCCAATGAGAATATCAGATAAATGATTGTCTGTTTTACGTTTTTTTTTTGCATGCTAGTCTCCATATAGGAAATGAGAGCTTACTCAAAAACAAACATTCTCATACGCCATACTAGAATTTAAGAAAGTGATGTAATGCTTGTATTGTATTGTATATTTGGATGAAAACTGTACTGATTTAAAGAAAATCATATGATCTGGTATTGCAGGAGAATGGTATCGCAGGAGACTCTTTCCCCTTTTGAACTGTTGTAATCGGCTCTTGAAAGCTGTGTTCTAATGATCAGATTGTCGTACGATCACTTCGAAAGCTGTATTTTTTGTACGATTTTCTGATCATGTGTGCGAGGCTTTAGACACACTTATAAACTTGATTCTGCAAGATTCATATGGGTGTTTTTACACATATTTATTTTTTATCTAGGTTATAGACTTATTTACTTTATTACATGTTACAGTATCTGTCTGTTCACTGTTTAACTGAAGCATCTCTGTCTGTCCTGAAGGGTTTGTGCTGGGCATCTATCTGCACTGAAGAGTCTGTACTGGGGGAGGCAGTCTGCACTGGGGAATTTGGTTTGTGTTAGGGGTGGGTCTGTGCTGGTGGGGAGGGTTAGTCTGTGCTGAGGGGTTTGTGCTGGGGAAGTCAATCTCTGTTAGGGGGGTCAGTTTATGCTGGAGGGTCTATAGTAAGGGGACTTTGCTGGATTATCTATGCTAAAGGGGATGAAACAAGAGTCATGTAAAGTGGCCTGTGCATTACACTCTACTGATCTGTGTACTATAGACACGAATCAGTAGAGTTTACGGAATTTATCAAAACTGGAGCAGACAGAATCTAAGGTAGCTGTCCATGGCAATCATTGAGCTTCTGTCTTTCATTTACAAAGCTTAGCTAAACAAGCTGAAAATAGAAGCTGACTGGTTCCTATGCACATCTGCTCTGGATTCTGTCTGCTCCAGTTTTGATAAATTCTCCTCCCTCTGCTTTACGTATCATACTCCTGACTACTGCACTACATTACAGTACATTACTGCTGAAGTTTATTTAATTAAAATGACTTTCCTTAGGTTTTTTACATGTCTTTTAGAGCTTGTTCACTTTAGTGGTTGGAAGGCAGTAATTCCCCCAAATTTTTACCACCCCCAACTACTACCCATTTAGCTGCAGAGGCAGAAGCCAGGGCAAGTACACATTCCGTGGCAGGAATTTTATTCCTTGTCACTTTCAGTGGGTAATACCACCCTTTGAACGCAACCCATTCAAGCAAATGGGACCGATCTGCAACCTCTCCACAGCTGTGTGCAATGCACACATTACAGAGAAGCTAGTGCTGGGTTCAAGGGGTTAAATCAGGAGGTGAAAAGGCAATACAACACCTCTTTCCCACATGCCAAATGATCCTTGAAGAGAGATTCTCTAGTGTGAACAAGTCCTTAAACTTTTGCTTGTGGAGCAGTCATTAAAACATATTTTATGCGTTAAAGAACTGTGGCATATTTGTGCTGAGTATAGGGGGAGTAGGCTCAGATTTTATTTAACTACTTTAAGACCCTCAAGCTGATAATGCAATTTGACCATGCGCACAATTTGCCATGGCGTGCTGCACACGCTGCTATGTTTCCTCATACCATTTTTTTGTGGGTAGGGGGTATAAACATAATGACCCTCTCCGGGTTCCAAATGTGCTAGGTATGCCACTAGTACTGTACATGCTATGTAGACTGCCAGTTTGCAATTCACTGTAATGTAGCACAATACAGCACTGTGTAAAGCAATGTGTATAGCACTCTTCAGCACCACATAGTATAGCAGCAAGACTATTTCCCTGCAAACACTCTGTCAGCTCTCCCTACCTATTTTAAGTCTCCAACACACATTGGCAAAAGGCTGGTGGGAGCCATTACTTATATAGGAAAGAGGGTTGTCACAAAAGTAAAATCTCATTATTAGATGTTCTAAGCCATTTGACCAGATGCATTATTGATATTGGTTCCGTAGTGGTGAACAGCCTCATTACTGTACCATTTTCTTAAATTGAAATTACTTGATTTGGGTTGGACTCATGTTTGACTTGAATCCTAAGCTCATTTCTACTCTTTATGTTATCTGATTTTGAAGATAACTTATCTTTCATTAATTTAATGTGTCACTCTGAAGTTACACCCCTGAAATCAAACTCCAAAATTGTACAAAATACTCTTGAGTTTTTTTAACCGCCTCCCACCCGCCATATAGTAAAATTATGGACGAAAGGCGGTTCTCTCGTTCTGGGAGGACGTCATATGACGTCCTCCCATTCTAACCGCGTATGCGCGGCTCCGGGAGTGCACAGCATGGCGATCGGTGGTGCGCTGTGTCCCTCGGACACAGTGGATCACCGATCAATGGAAAGAGTTGCTCGGTCATGTGATCAGCTGTGTCCAATCACAGCTGATCGCATGTAAATAGGGGAATGCCGGTTATCGACATTTCTCTTCTCATGAACTGTCCTGCTGACAGCTCATGAGGAGAGGAGAGCTGGTAATTGGCATTCCTCAGAGGGGACATCTATACTGATCATCAGGGCACTGATGATCAGTGTGCCCTGATGATCTGTGTAGCCACAGCAGTGCCACCTGTCAGTGTCCATCAGTGCCAGCTCTCAGTGCTCATCTATGTCACCTGCCAGTGCCCATCACATAAATGCCACATATCAGTGCCTACCAGTGCACATCAATGCCACATATCAGTTGCCCATCTGAGCTGCCTTTCAGTGTCACCAGCAGTGCCAGTCAGTGCCACCTATCAGTGCCAGTCAGTGCTGCCTATCAGTGCCAGTCAGTGCCGCCTATCAGTGCCACCTATCAGTGCTGCCTATCAGTGCCATATATGAGTGCTGCCTTTCAGTGTCCATCAGTGATGCCTGTCAATGCCATCAGTGCCACCTACCAGTGCCTCCTCATCAGTGCCCATCAGTGCCACCTATCAGTGTCCATCAGTGCAGCCCAGGGGCTGACTGACCATTTGGAAATTCGGGCACTGCCCAAGGGCCTGGGGTCAGTAGGGGGCCCCATGAGATGCCCCTGGTACCTTTTTCATAGGCTTTTTTGAGTTTGGGCAAGGACACAGGGGCCCCATGATCCCCTATTGCCCGGGGGCCCCATGAGTTGTCAGTCCGCCCCTGGTGCAGCCTATCAGTGCCCATCAGTGCAGCCTCATTAGCGCACATCAGTGAAGGAGAAAAATCACTTATTTACAAAATTTCATATGGGTACAGTGTTGCATGACTGTGCAATTGTCATTCAAAGTGCAACAGTGCTTAAAGCTGGAAATTGGCCTGGGTAGGAAGGGGGTATAAGTGCCCTGTAGGCTAGTGGTTAAACAATGGCATTGCCATTATGTTTGGCTCTGTAGAACAATCTACAGGGGAAATATCAGATTTTAGAGCTAAAGCTAAGTACCAAATTTTATAGCAGCTAAGTAGCTTAATTTGACTTAGTACTGCTAGTCCATGTATTGCAGAGATCAGATTGCAAGCATAGAAGCAGCACAAGGAGCCAATCAGTTCACATACTAACAAAGAGCTGATTGAAGGAGAAAACATAATGCCATAGAGATGAGTTCATCACTGTGCTGCCTCTCCTTTACTGTCCATTTAATTATCAGGATCATCATTCACAGATGCTTGATCTACATAGCTGGACATCATGATTGATGTTTTTTTTTAAATGTTAATGAAGGACTTTATCACAGTGTGTGTGTATTATTACTATTGTAATTTTTTTGAATCAGTAACCAGGATTACTATGTATCCCTTTACTTTTTGTGTGTGTGTGTGTGTGTATGTGTGTGTACTTCCTACCAGCCTTGAAAATAACAAAAAAATGCATTTCAAGATTTGCCTCTTGCTGACCTCAATAGAGTTGATTTTTGCATTAAAGTTTACAATTTGAAGATTTTACAATGAGCTTGCCGACCTGTCCGGAACTCGAACTCAAGCAAATTTGCCCATCACTAAGTAACTGTCATTTATCCTGGATAACGGAGCACACCTTGTGGTGGAAAATAAGGAGGACAGCTTTAGAATAAAGGTGAGTAGCGCAGCAAAAGCTACTTTTTATTTTACCTTTAAATAAGCTATGAACTTTTTTATTTTTTACTGAAGTTCTGCTTGAAATACTTGTTCTTCTCTGCCTTTAGATTGTAGAGGGAACTGCTGAACAACTGGACCATGACAAATTAACATTTTACCCTAGAATCAACATTCTTGGTAATCTGGCATAGAGAGAATTCTGACAAGGAGCTGATGTATTTAAGAATGTTTGTGGGTTCTTGAAATTTTTGGTGAGGTACTTAGCCTTGTGAATATTCTCTATGGGTTAATGCACTAATACTCTAATAAGTTAAGTGTGACTACACAATAAAGCTAGTTGAATAAATATTTATTTATATGCTTACCATTTTTTTTTCAGGTCTCTTTATTGCATTGTAGAAATTAAGACACTTGTACTATCACCATGGCATTTCACCACTCTCATTTACCCGATATGTAATCATTTACTAAAACAGATAAAAATGTTTCTACTTGGAATAAAGCAATAAATCTGAATTCAGAATATTTATTACTGCACTGCAGCTGCACCTTCAGTTACATCAATAACAGTATTACACGTACAACATTAAAAGTGTAAATGGGTTTATCAATTACTTGTTTCTCTGCATGTAGTCCTCTCTTTGGTTCTCCGAGTCTGCAGGATAATGTATCTGCCAATTCCAATTACACAAATATGTTCCTGCCAAATTAGGCAACGGAACTCTCTCTAATATGAGCACATTCAGACATTTCCTGAACATTCCAGTGTCAGAGAGGTAAAACTCTGAAGCAATCTGTGAAGAAATGCCGAAATAATATTACATAATGTTTGCTAAAAGAAGGAAACAGCCGAAAATAAATATATTATAAAGAGCTATGCTTCAGAATAAGCATAGATAATGAAAATATAGTTAGAGCCAGATTTATGTTTCCTGCCCCCTTGGGCTGTTTTGTGATGCCTCCTTTTTTTCCCATAAGAAGTTTATTGATGAACCAAGGAGTGTAACCATACAAGACAGCAGATATACAGGGTCTGTTTTTAAATCAGGAATAATGTTTATTATGTCATACAAATATCAAAATAAAGGAGCACATAAAGAATGGTACCAAAGAATCATTCATTAACAAAAAGAACAATGTAAGAAAGAAAACTTTCCAGTGTTACCAGTTATGCATTAAATCCAAGAGTTTCTGCAAATTTACAGTGTTATTATGCGGTAAGATCACATTAATTTCCACACATTCAGAACAATAGGAGTATCCCCCCTACACAATGGACCCACAGGGAACAGAGAGCGCCCTTCCCCCCACCAATCAATTCAGAAGGGTCATAGGATGGCATTATAAAGTAACAATCAGATTATATTTGAAAACAATTACAGCAGCCTATGCATTATTAGATCAAAAGGGGCTAAACCTGGAGTGGCCAACCATGCATCCCGAAGTTTCTCAAACTTACCCAAGCATCCACGATGTTGGTAAATTAAATGATCATATCGTAGCATGATTCCCATATTTTGCTTCCAGTCAGCTACAGTGGGAGGAGTATCTGAGTTCCAGCGCTCAAGAATCGCCCTGCGCGCCTGGAACAAGGCCTTGGAAAGGGCTTCTAATATAAATGTATCCTGCGTTACAGAGTCTAAGATAGCCAAGAAGCATTGCTTAGGATCTAGAATTAGATTAGTTTGAAACACCAAATTAAGAATAGTAACCACCTCCTCCAATATCTATGAAGTTTTGGGCATCACCATAGCATATGAATCAGGTCCCCATGGTCCCGCTTATATCTGCCACATAGGGGGTCCTGGCGTAGCCCCATCATACACAATTTTGCAATGTAGAGTGTAATGAGCTCTACAATATACAATTGAGAAACGCAATGGGAGACCATCAACAAACTACGATGGATTGACTGCAATGCAGCTTCCCACTGGTCATCCTCAAATGTTCCAACATCTCACTCTCATTGCCCACTAGCACAATTTGGGTATTTTTCAAGATAGTCCATCAGAAGAATGTTATAGCAGTGAGAGATGAGCCCCCTGGTCATTGTAGCAGAGTGCAAGTAATTAAAAATAGGGGTAGGTGAGGAGTGCCATAAGGTTGATGGGATTTGAGCTGTGACTGCATGTTAACTGCATGTAGCAAAATAACATTGTAGATGGTAAATTATATCTGGACTTCAATATATCAAAGGAGATAAATTGACCATTGTTAAATATATGCTTTAAGTGAGTTATCCCATAAGCTTTCCATTTAGAGACATATTGTAGTTTGGCTAGTTTAGGTAATGTTGCATTATTCCATATGGGACTATAGGCAGTATAGCCCGTAATCTGCTGCAACTGCTTAACCTAAATCCAAATTTTATGCATTAGGCGATATGTAGGAAATTATTTATTTGATTTACAAAAAGATCGAGCCTTAAGACCCTCCGGTAAGAAGCTAGAGGCCGTGCAATGCAGCATCACATTTAGAGTAGAGTCATCAACCGGAGCACAGTCAGCACCTCTTTCTGCAATACCTTTATTTAGATGCTGCAGTTGGCTGGCTAAGGAGTACATCCAGGGTTGGGCAAAGCTATCCCCCCTCTATCCTTGGGACGTTGCAAGTGTCCAATTGTTATCTGAGGCAGACGACCCCCCAAAGCAATGAGAGAAAAATGGTATTTATGATTGAGAAGGTTTTTCAGCGGAATCATGACTGGCGAGTTATGAATAAAGTACAATTGGGGCATAATTATAATTATTATAAGAATCGATCTACTTGCCAAAGATAACCAAAATTTGGACCATATCTTAACCTTATCTTTAAATAGGGTCAACAATGGAGCTACATTCAATCGACAATAATCTAGTAAATTGGCACTAATGAGAATACCCAGGTATTTAAAGGAAGTAGGCACCTCTGGATCGGTAACCCCATACAGTGGCAGCAGCGCCGATTTAGACCAGTTAATTATTAGCCCTGAATAATGTCCAAACTTTGAGATTATATGCATGATTGTACGCAAAGATGATCCTGTATCACCAAGCAAAAGCAACACATCATCTGCCTATAGCAAAATTTTCTCTTGGTGATTACCATATCAGAAACCCTTAACATCCGCACTAGCCCTAATTCGTGCCACCAAAGGCTCGATGATCAGTGCAAACAAAAGCAGGGAAAGGGTGCATCCCTGACAGGTGCCCCTGGCTAGTTGGAAAGTTAAGGAAGTTGCTCTAGCTTGTCTGATAACGGCACAGGGAGAGTGATATAGAAGCTTTACCCAGTTTTTAAACCGGTCCCCAAAGTTGTATCTCTCTAGATTCTTCCATAAATAATCCCATTCTATTCTATCAAACGCCTTACTGGCATCAACAGAAGTGCTCTGGAGCCCATGTTGTCAGCTGGTGTTTGCATATTGGTAAATTGACCACGATGGATGTCTGTGGCATGAAACCGGCCTGATCAGGGTTTACTATAGTGGTGATAATTTTATTTAATCTAAGAGCTAATACTTTGGCCAGGATCTTTACATCAGACTGTAATAGGGATATAGGTCTATAGGAGTTAGGGTCGGTAGCCACCTTGCTCTGCTTAAGTAGCAATACCACTGTGGCTTTGGTCATAGAGGCAGGTAAAGAGCATCTGTCATAGGCTGTCTGAAGCACCATTAAGAGTTGTGGTAGCACGGATTCAGCATATATTTTATAAACCTCCATCGGGATACCATCCTCCCCCAGAGCCTTGTTATTAGGGAACACACAAGTCGCCTTAACAAGCTCATCTATTGTAATAGGTGAGTCTTAATATGATTTATAAGTAGGAGTGA